GGGGCCCTCAGTGGCCTTTCTTGGGCCATCTTGGGGCTTCTTTGGCCGTCTCCACGCCCACTTGGGCCTTCTCGGGGGCCGTTGGGGCCGTTTCGGGGCGGTTTCGGTGGCTTCCTGGGCTGTTTTGGACGCCGCGAAGACCAAAGAAGCGGATATGCTAAAAATGCACGTTGTTTCCCCTAGGGAATTGGACGACGTTTGCCCGGGACCAAAAACATCAAAAAACAAGCTCGGTTTGGTCTGCCTCGGCTGGGCGTTGGCTGCATTACTCTGCGTTGCATTGCTCGGCGGCACATTGCGCGCCGTGGGTCTGGTCGTCGCACGTGGATGTTGTCTCTGTACATGTTTGCGGGACGCGCGGTCAGAATCTTTATCGCGCATGCGGCCGGCGATGCACAGGAAGGGATATCAGCCAGCGAAACACAGATTCTGGAGTTCTCGATCCCAAGATCCATATTCGATTACTACTCGCGCTGGGCCTCGGGGAGTTCGTTTCGCGCGTCTGTTTTCGCGCACGCACCCGGCGGCGCGCGGAAGATATGAGTACCAGGGCTCGATCTTAGCGGACACTCGGGGCGACCTGTTTCCAGGAAGCGCGGTTCCAGCGGGATGCATTTTCTGGAGCTCTCGATCCCTGCGCGGACCCAGTGCGTTCGGCCGCGGAGCCCTGGAATCCGCTCGGATTCATCGCATGCCAGGTGCCGCAACTGCCAGAGTTGCCCTGCAGTTTCCAAGTTCTCTGTCAGACGCGGCAGTCGCGCTGCTTCACGCGCAAGCCCACAGCGCGCGCGCAGACTCGCGGCGCGGGCCGCCCCGCCTCCGCAGTTAGTATCGGCGCGGGGCCCACAGGGGGGTCGACGCGCCCCGCCGCGCCCGCCGGCTTCCAGCAGCGCGCGGCCGCTGCCTCCGCGGCTCTTCGCGAGGCGAGGCGAACCAAAGCTGCAAGCCTCTGGACCCCGTCTCTTGCGCCCCAGTCGGCGGGGCGGGCAGCTGGCGGGCGCCAGCCCCCTTCTAGACTCGCAATATTCACTCGTGCAGTGCCAGCCTTTTAAGGTGCCCTGGGAGTGTCTGCCTTCCCGCGCCAGGGAATCGCTCGAGGCTGCGGGCTGGGGATATATGGGGGAAGCTCGAAACGCTGATCCTCGTGAGTTTAAGCGGCTAGTTGCTGCTTCCCCATGTCTGGGGGAGCTGAAACTATGGCTGCTGCAAGTGAGAGGGCGCGCCGACTCTGACGATCTCAAGAGACTGGAATCGGCAATCTCGGCACAAGTGGCGCCAGACGCTTTGCGCGACTTCACGGGGTCGCTCCTGGCAAGCGGCGGAGCCCAAGGGCTAACGCACCTCCGCTCGAGCGGCTCGGCATGTTGCTTTCTACCCAGCAAGAGGGTTTCGACATCCACGCGATATTAGACGCATTGCTAGTAAATAAGCTTGGGGATTATGTCGGAAAATTCGCTCAGCAGGTACATGTCTTTCGCAAGGGCAGTAAACGCTTTCTGCGAGCTCCTCATCGCGCCATTTCTCCCAACCTCCCTGCACGAATTCGCCGCCGTAGTAAGGCACAAAGGCACGCTCAAGACAATGCTGTCTGCGTGGCGCAAATTCCACCATCTGGCAGGTGATCATTGCCCCGTGGAGCACCCCCCAATCTTGGCTGCAGCCCCCAGCGCCTCCCAGGCCACGCATTCACATGAGCAAGCTGCGGCAACTCTCGGCGCATTGTGTCCAGAGGGGAAATCTATTTCGGGGCATGGGCTACATAATGGTTCAAGCGCTCCTGCTCCGCATTCCGTCCGAGCTCATGGAACAATTGAAGCCTCGTCTTCTGCACGTGGATGGCGGCACTGTGCGCTTCGGCCCCATCGGGCGCAATGGTCAGCATCACGCGCAGTCCACGCTTGAAGCCAAATGCGTCAGCAAAATTGACCCTGTGCTCTGCGTGCACATGCAGGCATCCTGGCTGATTGCCGGCCGTAACGACCGAGACGAACGTGTGTACCCACCGGGATACTACAGCAAGTTCTTGGCTGGTCTTCGCGACGACCTCATTGCCGTGGGCACGCCAGCGGCAGGAGCCTCTGGGATAGCTTCCCATGCTTTCCGCCATGGGGCCGCGTTAGACGCTCATGACTCTGACGGGTTCGCTGCGGCCTCCGCCAGGGGGGAATGGCGGAGCAGAGCTGTCACGGCCTGGATCCCGCCTACCACAAGTGACTCCTGGGCCTTGGTCGAGGCTTCGTGCATGGAGTCCGACGAAGAGGCGGTCCCGATTTGATGTTTCCCCGGTCGACTTCCATTGGTCTCCATTGGGGACGTGGTCCTATCGAATGCGCCCCAACGGAAAACGACGAGAGTGGGAGGCAGGGGACCAACTTCCAGACCCAGACTTTTCAGTTGGCTCCCTCCTCGCTCCCCTGCGCCCGCAGCTCGGGCTCGAGGCTGCCTTCTTCATGGGCACCATCGCCGCCCCTCAGCGGACGGGGGCCGCCCGAACCGCTATCGCAAATGGGAGCGAAAAGACTTTGACTGGCCAGGAGACGGGGTGCCACTAGGTCCGCCGCTCTGCCCGCCTCTTCCCAGGAGCGCGGCGCCGCGCCGACCTGCGGGCCCAGCTCTCCGGCCGCGGGGCGCGGCGGCAGACCGAGACTCGCCAGGGGGCGGCGGCCGCACGAGCCATCGGGGTGCCTTGCTGGGGCGGCGTCTGGGCAGGCGGCCACGTCAGGGAAGGTCGCGTAAACGCCCTCCGCCTTCTTAACCTCCAGCTCCTCGCGGGTCGCCAGCTTCCCCGCGGACGCTACCGCGGCAGCGGCAGCGCCGGCGGCCGCGGCGGCGGAAGCGGCGGCGGCCGCGCCCGCGGCCGACGGCCCCAGCGCGGCCGCCCGTACCACGGCGGCCGCGGCGCCAGCCGAGCAGCCCGCGGCAGCGGCAGCGGCGGCGTCCTCAGCAGTCGCGGCGGCCGCCGCGCCGGCGGCGCCAGCGCTAGCAGGAGCAGCCGCGGAAGGGGCGGCGCACGAGGCGGCCGGGACGGCGGCGGCGGCGGCGCGGCCGGGCGGAGGCCGCGCGCTGCTGCCGCAGGCAGCGGGGCGCCCAGGCGACGGCGGCGGCGGCGGCGGCCGCGCCCGCGGCCGCCGGCCCCAGCGCAGCGGGAGCAGCCGCGGCAGGGGCGGCGCCAAGAGCAGCCGCGGCGGCGGCGGCGCCGCACATGGCTGCCGAGGGCAGCGGACGCCCAGACGGCGACGGCAGCAGCCAGCGGCGCCAGCCCCAGGGGCGGCGCGCCGCGCGCTGCTCCCGCCGCCGCTGGCGGCGGCGCCGAGCCGCGAGTGACTCCCCGGACGGCATGGCCCGTCCCCGGCGGGAGTAAGGAGGAAGGAGGCCCCGTCCCCACTCCCGCAGGCGGGAGGCCGGAGGCCGAGGGGCAGGCCCCCGGCCGCGGCCCAGCAAGCCAGCTCGGGCTCCCTCGAACCGGAGCGGCTTGAGCCAGGGCTACGGACGGCGGGGGGAACACGCAGTCCGATAGCTTAGCCGAGCTCTGGCCGCAACGTTCGGCCACATAGGCGCTTCCGAAAGGCACGAGGCGGCGGTGATTCGCCGTAGGCGTCTTCGGCAGACATATATATATATATATGTGTGTGTATGTATGTATATATACATGCCCGTAGATATACATATATATATATATATATAGATACACACACACACGCGTGTGCGCAAGCATAACGTTGTGTATATATGCGCTCGAGTGTACAATCCGTTGTGCATACATGCATATGCACATGCATACATACATGCATATATACATGCATACATACATACACACATACATACATACATACATACATACATACATACATACATACATGCATACATAAAAGTACGCATAATTATATATACACATACATACATACATGCATATATGCATACATGCATACATGCATACATGCATACATGCATACATGCATACATGCATACCTACATACATACATGCATGCATGCATTCATGCATACATACATACATGTATACATACATACAAGCATACATGCATACATACATGCATGCGTATCTGTATATGTATATATGTGCTTATATGTATACATAAATATGCATGCATACGTACATGCATGCATACATGCATGCATACATGTACATACATACAGGCATACAGGCATACAGACATACAGACATACAAACATACAGACATGCAGACACACAGACATAAACACATACAGACATACAGATATACAGACATACAGACATACATACATACAGGCATACACACATACAGACATACAGGCATACATAGATACAGACATACAAACATATATACATACATGCATGCATACATGCATGCATGCATAAATGCATGCATTCATACGTACATACATACATGCATACAGACATACATACATATGTGTGGATATATATATATATATATGTGACTCCGTCTCCGGATTCTCTGATGCCCGACATATCAAAGATCCCAACGCCGCAAGCCGCGCACTGCGACCTCCCACATATGCAGGTCAGCACATTCGGTCCGTCCACCCATGCAGGTTTCGCCCAACATAGGGTATCAATTACATCCAGTCGGCTCCGCAATGCCAGCGGCTTAAGCGCAACAACTGCCAACATGGCTACAGTCAAAACTGAATGTAAGGATGCGCGATAAGGAGGCAAGCCCCTTGGACGCCCATGTCGAAGCGTTTCGAGCGTGGCGGGCCATCGAAAGTAGTCAAGGATGGACCAAAGAGGCACGGATGCAAGGGTACCCTTGGGAAGGTTACCCATCCTTACCATCGGTTTCGACTGTACTCACGTCCACCATGCAAGGAGGAACACACCCAAGTCATGTACCCAGGCGCTATCGAGCAGGGCTGCTCCGTGCGCGCTTGCCCACGTGACCAGGCAGTCCAACAAGAGCCAATACACGCCTCTGCTGACCTCACCGGATGGTTCTAACTACGTGCTCGAAAAACTCTGCTTGCTGAGATTTGGCAAGGACCTTCTCCGGAGGTTTGTCTGTCTTTTCTCTGTCGGCTGCAGGTTCGTCAGGCTTCTTGTCCGTCTTGCCCTCGTCCTCACTCTTCTTGTCCTCTTCGTCCGACCTGAGTCTCAGAGCGCGATCTCGCACTCTGCCACGTGCAGACACGGCACGGAGCCCGCACCCACAAGATGGAGCCGCAGGCCAGAGGACGGGGCGGGAAGGACCGAGGGCACGATGAGTCCGCCGACCTCCGCCTGCAGGGGAGCGGGCGGGCGAGATGTCGGGCTGCCCCCCGCCCCCCCAAAATTTTCCCGCAGGAGGTGGGGGGCACGAGCTCGTCGGCGCGCCTCCTGGGCCCTCGGAGACTGCGACTGCAACGTCCAGGCTCCGTGGCCGCCGAGACGCAGCGCCGGGGAGGCCTCGAGAACGCCCGAGACGGCCCCGAAACGGCCCAGGACGCCCCAGAGGCGCCCCGAGTCACCAGAGGGCCCCACGAGGACCCCCAAAAAGGAACGCCGAGCGGCACGGATCGCTGACTGCCCACAGATGGCTGCATGATGCTCGCGGTCTTGCCGCCTCGGGCCTCCGACACTCCCAGACGGCCCGGAGAGGCCCCGCAGACGGGCCCCAGGGCGGCCCAAGACGAGGTCGCCAGGCCGGGCCCAGAGGCGGCTCGGGACCCCAACAGGGCCCCAGAAAGGTCAAGAGGGGGAACTCGCAGGGACCCCCTGGCGCCCTTCCCAGCAGGACGGCCCCAAGAACACCAGAGTGCCCCCAAGAGGCCCCCGGAAGCCCCCGGAGGGCCCCCGAGAGCCCCCGAGGCCGCTAGGAGGCTCCGAGGGGCCGTCCTCTGGGCCCTCACGAGGCCCCCGAAAAGCCCCGCAACAGACGCGGAGGAAGACGAGGACGAATCAGGAAGGGGGTAGGAGGAGGGGGTAGGAGGAGGGGGTAGGAGGAGGAGGAGGAGGAGGAGGAGGAGGAGGAGGAGGAGGAGGAGGAGAAGGAGGAGTGGGAGGAGGACCAGTGTAAACCCGAGAATCATCAACGATATTGGAATTAACCCTCCCTCCAAGCTCCCTATTCACAGGCCCCTACAACGGTTCATTTCTATTGGGGGAACAGTATGGTTGGAAGACAACCGTTCGTAGACCCTGAAGCATGCCAGAACATTGTTCTCGGGATTCCAACGCAACAGATCAACCTGACTGTTGCGTGTTGACGATCTTGAATCGTGCCAGAACGCCATTCTTGGGACTTCAGCACAGCGAGTCCACGTAACCTTTGCGCCCGCGCAGTCCTGAATCCTTTTAAAACACAATTTCTGGCACGCTGAGGATGGGAATCCGTGAAGCTCTTGCAAACGCTGCAAACGAATGTGCGCCACGCTAAACCGAGAACCACATTTTGGAAAGGAACCGCCCTCAATCCGTGAATCTCTTGCAAATGTTCGAAGCGAAAATGCACGGCGCTAAGGCGAAAGCCACATTTTGAAAACGGCCCGCCCTCAATCCGTGAAAAGAATGCCAATGTTTAAAAAGAATGTGCGTCGCGCTCAGGCGAGAGCCACAATTCGAAAACCACCCGCCTTCAATCCGTGAAACCCTTGATGTTTTGTAATCATCATAATAATGATAAAAATAATAATAATAATAATGATAATAGTAATGATAATTATAAGAAGAAGAAGAAGAAGAAGAAGAATAGTAATGCTGATATTTTTGTATAAAATATATTTACAAATATGGGGAAAAAACAAAACAACAAAACAAATGTGCGCGGCGGTACAGCGAGAGGCACCTGTTGAAGACGGCCCACCCGCTCTTGCAAAGCTTTAAAACGAATGCGCGCCGCGCTGACACGACAGCCACATTGTGAAAACGACCCACCCTAAATCCGTGAAATTCTTGCAAATGTTCAAAACGAATGCGCGCCGCGCTAAAGCGAGAGCCACATCTTGAAAACCGCCAGCCCCCCATATGTGAAACTGTAGCCACATTTTAAACTTCAGAACCATCGGTGGTGAGGAGTTCTCTAACGAAACGCCCGGCTCGCCCTAAAAACTGGCGTCGGGGTGGGACAAGGGTAAACTGTTTATAAGGAACAGGAATGGAGGAGGAGGAGCAGGAGGAGGACCAGTGTAAGCCCAAGAGTCGCCAACCATGTTGGAATTAACCCTCCCTCCAAGCTACTTACTCATAAGCCCCTACAACGGTTCATTTCCATTGGGGGAACTGCCTCGTTGGAGGACAACCGTTCGTAGACCCTGAAGCATGCCAAAACATTGTTCTCGGGATTCCAACGCAACGGATAAACCTGAATGTTGCGTGTTGGCGATCCTGAATCGTGCCAAAACGTCGCTCCTGGGACTTCAACACAGCGAACCAATATACCTTGCACCCGCATAATCCTGAATCCGTCCAAAACGCCATGTTTGGCACGCTGGTCATGGGAATCCGTGAAACTGCTTCCAATGTTGTGAACGAATGTGCGCGACGCTGGAACGAGAACCACATTTTGGAAAGGAACCGCCCTCAATCCGTGAACCTCTTGCAAGTGTTTAAAGCGAATGTGCGCGGCGCTAAGGCGAGAGCCACATTTTGAAAACGATCCGCCCTCAATCCGAGAAACCCTTGCAAATGTGTAAAACGATGCGCGGCGCTAAGGCGAGACCAACATTTCGAAAACCATCAGCCCTCAATCCGTGAAACTCTTGCAAAGTTTTCAAACGAATGTGCGCCGCGCTAAAGCGAGAGCCACATTTTGAAAACGACCCGCCCTCAACCAATGAAACTCTTGCAAATGTTTAAAACGAATGTGCGCGGCGCTAAAGCGAGAGCCACATATCGAAAACCGCAAGCCCTCCATATGTGAAGCTGTTGTCACGGCTTAAGCTTCCGAATCATAAACGGTGAGGAAGCCTCAGGCGAAACGGCAGGCCCGCCCTAAGAACTGGCCTCGGGGTGCGACAAGGAGAAATTAGTGATAAGGAAAAGGAATTGAGGAAGAGGAAGGGGAGGAGGGGGAGGAGGAGGAGGAGGAGGAGGAGAAGGAGGAGGAGGAGGAGGAGGAGGAGAAGGAGGAGGAGGAGGAGGAGGAGGGGGAAGAGGAGGAAGAGGAGAGCTACACACAGGCAGCACGACGGGAAGCGGCGGCAACGAACACGCACGAGATCGGCAGCCGAGAGCCTCCTCCTCAGGGGGTCGGCGGGGGTGCGCAGGCCCGCAGGCCTCCCCAACACGCACGACTGGAGGCAAACCACAAGCCGAGATGCTGATGGTCAGAAAAGAGCACGAGGACGAGGAGGAGGAGGAAGAGGAGGAGGAGGAGGAGGAGGAGGAGGAGGGGGAGGAGGAGGAGGAGGAGGAGGGAGGAGGAGGAGGACGAGGAGGAGGAGGAAGAGGAGGAGGAGGAGGAGGACGGCTGGGCAGAAACGCTGGGCACCCATCGGAGTGGCATGTCGTCCGTGCGCTGTCTGGCCACGCTCCTGCCACGTTCCAGGCGGGCCCCCTCCTGCTCCGAGAGCCCCGAGCCCCGCTGCGCGCACCGCACCCACACCGGGCTCCTTTCCTGAGCCGCACCTTGACGGCCCCAGGGCCGAGACAGCCCACGAGGACCCCACGAGGGCCCCGCAAGAGCCCCAAAGACGCCAGCACTCCGCCCGAGACAGCTTCGAGAGGGCCCCCCAAAAACCCCCCCGAAGACGGCCCCAAGAGAACCATCAGACGACACAGACAGACAGACAGACAGACAGACAGACAGACAGACAGACAGACAGACAGACAGACAGACAGACAGACAGACAGACAGACAGACAGACAGACAGACAGACAGACAGAACGACAGACAGACAGACAGACAGACAGACAGACAGACAGACAGACAGACAGACAGACAGACAGACAGACAGACAGACAGACAGACAGACAGACAGACAGACAGACAGACCAGCAGACAGACAAACAGACAGACAGACAGACCAGCAGACAGACAAACAGACAGAGAAGCTAAAGGCCGTCTGGCGCGTAGGCACAAGCGCCGCAACTCACGGAGCAGGGCAGAAAGCGTTGCTTGCTGCTGGCACGAACGCGCTGACGACGACCCAAGAGAATCCACAAGGCTCCAACGGCCACCATCAGAGGCCCAAGATGCGGCCGAACGGCCCGATTATATAATCCTCGGAGAAGCGCCAAGAGGCGTCCATGATGCTCTCCAGCAGGCGCCTGAGATGCCAAAAGCGCCCGGAAAAGCGACAGTGGTTACAACTATGTGCTCTGTATGCTCGTTTACCTATCTTCAACGCAAGAGCCCGCAAAAGACCCCAGGAGGCACCCAGGGCTTCTCACGAGCGGCTCCCAGGGAGCCCAAAACGGCCCCCAAATGGCTGGAGCATCGCCCGCAAAGCCGGCTCAAGGCGGCCCCTGAGCTGCCTGGGACACCTCCCAGACTTCCCCAGAACAGCCCAACACCATCCCAAGCTGGCCCCCAAGAGGCCCCAGAGCCACTGCCGGACTCCCCGTACTTCCCCTGGATCGTCCGAGGACCTCCCAAGACTGCCCGGGACCGCCCACGAGGGCCCGAGAACCCCGAGGCCTTCGAGATGCCGCCAAGAGGTTCCCGAGGGGACCCCAAGAGGCTCCCAGGATGCCCCCAAGAAGACAGCTGGAAGCCTTACTCGGGACGTGCGGAGGGAAGCGGTCACAAGATGAGGCCCTCGGAAACCTGGACGACGGAGCTGCGACATGTTTACGACCCTATATCTGGAATGATGGGGCGAACTGTCACATGTTAAGGCCCGCCGTGGGCATGGGGAAGAGAGGGATGCCACAATGTATGCCCGCACAGGCCCTGAGGAAGACATCTATCGCGTGCGACGCCCTCCTGGAGTCTCAAGAGGAGAGCTGCCACATGGTACGACTCTCTGGGCCAAGGGAAAGACAACTGACACATGGTATCGCCTTCTCCGAATCAGGGAAGCAAGCTGCCACACGCTACGATAGGGGAAGTTGCACACATCTCTA